TGTTTTTTGGATAATTTTTAATTGATTATAATTGACATGAATCAGAATAATTAATAAACTTTTGATTGTTTTTCGATTATGGTTGACTAGAATAGGTAACACAGTGATTAAAAAGTCAATTAAAAGCATCAGTTTTTGATTTTTTTAATCGATTTTAATCTAATATAAATGTATCGATGACGATTTTTTTTTTCAATAAAATAAATATACTCATGTCTTACATATGAATGAATAACAACTTTCTAGTATGATTGAATCGAAAACTGAAAGTAGATTGTAACATTTTTTTAGCAATGCTTTTTATTATGTTCTATGCCAATGTTACACAGCGCAAAAATTTCGCAACATTTCACCACATATGAGTCATATTTTACATGTGAAACTGCTTTTGAATTCGCGATCCGCATTTGCAATAAAACTAGAATATTTTTTTCTAAATGAAACGAGTTCAATGGTATAAGATGCAGCCTATATGTGGGTTCACTATTGCTTGTAATATCCTATGAAAAATACCGTTCTCCAAATCACAGTAGTCCACTCAAAGTCTATGTGATAGAATGACGTTTTATTTCATAGTCTATGTTCTGAATAAAAATAGGATCAGTTTCTTCCATAAAAAACAAATCAAATAATGTAAAATACTATCCATATTGGCTCACTTTTAGTTGAAAAATCACACGAAAAAAGGTCGTTGTACAAAGTGAATCAAACTCGAATGTTTAGAAAATTTTAGAAGGATTTTTCAAAATCATTTTATTGGTATTTCAAGGGCTTTTCTTCGACTTTTACAACGATAAAGAAAACGTAAAGATTAAGTCAAAATATATATATCATTTCATTAGAGTACACAGCGAGTAGTAACGTATTAAAAATTGTTCAAATTAGTCAATGAGAGAAAAAGTTAGTAGTACACAAATATAACTAAAATCCCAGTTGTACCAAAATGTTGCAAACAACTTATATACATGTTTCATAGCATTAATTATCTTCATACTCTTTAAAACAAACTCTGTAGTTTGAACTCTATTCGCATTTCATATTTTTATTGAATTATATCAAGTACAATCATTTAGTAGGTTACAAATCTAAACGATTTGCAGCTAGGTTAGGGTCTTTTTGATGCAACAAGATGATCTCGAACAGTAAGGCAGAGTAAAAAGAGTGCATCGGGTATTTCGTCAGTGAAGATTTTCATTGTATATTTGTTGGTCACAATTGACGATACCACATGTATGCGATATTCGGCCATCAGTCGATTTCCTTGTGTTTCATCAAAAAATTGTGTTGTAAACGAAGGAAAATTATGTTTCATGAACAATCGTTTTCCATTCCAATCGATGATAGATGTATGACTAAGCATTTTCAATTTTTGGTTGATTGTACCTGTAATCCATTTTTTTTTGAGGCAGCATCTAATATTTCTAATGTACCTTTGTACAAAAAAAATGTGAGTTGATTCTTAAGTCGAGCAATAACTTGTTTCGATGGATAGGCAACAAGTTCGACTGAATGCGCAGCATTATAACGAGATTCAACCCGATACTGAAAATTTTTACCAGTTTGATCGTAGATCGAAAATTCACCTGCTTTGAAACCAGTAATAAAATCTTTTTTAACTACATATTCACGTCTTGACATTGAACAAGTGATGGTTGTAATGAATAAAAGCAATAAGATGCGCAACATCATCAGTTGATCTCAAGAAAAAAAATATGTTATTGATAGTTTAGGAAAATAGTAAATAAGAAAATATCTCTGATGCTTTTACAACCAAAACATCAGCGTTAGAATGTCATACAATACCACTGACATTTGTATATGTTCTTCATACGCTAACTCTTCTTCGTTTCGATTCTAACGAGTATTCATTACATGATCGAGAAAAGAGATGCGATGGTCTAAGTAGCATATTCGTAAAAAAATTTATAATGTCATATCTATATGTACTGCTATTAGGAAGGCATATTATTTCTTCATGAGTATAAATACAGTTCGACGACATCATGTCATTTTGTAACTGTTGAATTATATTAGTGTGAAAATTCTACATTTCTGAAAAATTTCAAAACAGTATGTCGGTCAGTCTGGCGAATTTAGACCAGGACAGGTCTCAATGATAAAAAGTCTTAAACGGTTCTATCAAAGACAGAATACCATGACATATCTGTGCCGATATTGATGACACGGCTCGCTGCTCTTCCTCTTTCCTCTTTCCTCTTTCTCTCTCTATTGTTCTATCTGTGTCGTCTCTCTCCCTTTGTTTCTGTATCATATATAAGCGTGTGTTGAATGTGAAATAGACACACTCTGGATATGTGAAGTAGCTGAATAAACATCATTGCCGAGAGTGGCACAAGCTACTCCAATCCAGTTTGTCGTTACAATATCTACTTGCTACATTTTTTTTAATTTTGATCAAGCGAGTCTTCTGCTTTTTCCAATCAATTCTTTTCAAATGAATAAATCGATGTGATTCTACACATGACATGAAAAGTTATGTGATTGCCATCCTCATTCGAAGCGATGTCAACAAGGACAGAGGGAAGTCTCTTCTGTTATGTGTGACAGGATCAAACTGAGACACTCCAAATAACACAACAGTTGGCTCATTGCAACGTTTTTTAGCAAACATCGGCGAAGTCAATATTGCATGAAGACAATCTCTGCAACAATACAAGCTTGACTGGTTTGAACGATGTTCGAATCTTATTTGACTATAGAAGAATCCTATTAATTTGAGCTTTCGATGAAAACAACTAAATGAATAATGCGACATTGCTTAAAAGAGTGAAGATATCAGTGACACTTCAGAAATCGTCATCAGACTTTCATTTGATTTACTCATATTGAAGAAAGATTGAAATTACTTGTCTAGAAGATATATTTTCTCAAAACCAATCGAACTAGAGTGTGGACGATTGTGAATAGATGTAGCTGTTGCTATGCCGGTGCAGACCTCAGCATTAGAATCTTCGTAAAACCCCCAATTTACAATAAATCCAGACTCCACATTCATCCAGACATTTAATTCAAATCATAGACGAAATTCTACCGACCTGATTCAATTGTTGAGTGATCCAGAAATCTAAATGTACTTTCAGTATGGGAATTCACATTGGAATGGTAAATATAACCTTCAAGAATGATGCTTTATATTGGAATATTTATTACTTTGAAATGATCTCTACGAATTTGATTCATTTCTAGTGAAAATAATGCTTGATGTGAATTATCCGTTACTCCGCAGATACTGTAATTCTCTTAGGCAAAAACGTTCCTTTTTTCAATTAATTTTAGTACACCTAATGCACTGTGTTAAAAAAAATACAGAACACCATAAAACGCAGCGTGAAAAATTCTACAACTCTCAAAATACATTTTACGTTTTCAATATGAAAAAAATCCTGAGCCACTAATCTATGATGTTGCGAAAAAAAGTCTTTTTTTGGTACACGACGAATTCCGTTTGTAATTGAAATACATCGATTAATCTGAAGTCGGTCATCGCTAATGGCCTTTGATATGACTCATTAACTGAAGTAAGGATGTGAATGTAAGAATTGTACTCTTCTATAGCCACAAACACATCTACTCCGTGATTTGCGTGTTAACACAAATTTGTGATTAAAAAAACCGACTTATTTTATTCTTTGCAAAATAGTTATTGCCCAATCACAATATTATGTTGTGCAATATTATATTGAAATAGTTATATATAAATTCAACTGCGTGTGCATACAGCTTTGAAATGATGTTCTCGAACAACAAAATCAGCAAGGTAAGTTTGATGATTTTCAAAAGTTTCAAAAAGAATAAGATGTGAGTTTTTTCTTAGGAGACTCTACAAGAGTCTATTGGTCGTTTACTTGACTATGCTCACGTTCATCATCAAAGGAAGTTCGTGGAAACTGTTGAATTACAGATTGTACTGAAAAATTATGATACTCGACGTGAAAAACGTTTTGCCACTAATATTCAACTTCGTTATCCAACACGACCCCGTTATAAAGTTTGTGTCTATGGTGATGAGCAACATTGTGACGAAGCTCGTCTGCTTAACATTCCACATATGTCAATGGATGACTTACGACGGATGAACAGAGATAAAAAAAAGAAAAGAACACTTGAACATCGTTATCATGCTTTCTTAGCATCGGACAATGTCATTCGTCAAATTCCACGTCTGCTCGGTCCGGGTATCGGTCGCATCGGAAAGTTTCCAACCTTAGTCACTCATACCGAACTATTACATGATAAAATCGAACAAATGAAAGCAAACATTCGAGTTCATTTGAAAAAGCAGCCTCTCATTAATATTCCTGTTGGACATGTAAATATGACTGGAGAACAATTGATGAGCAATATTACTATGACAATCAATGGCATTGTAGCATTATTACGAAAAAATTGGCAGCATGTTGGAAAAATATTCATTAAAAGTACAATGGGACCATCTCACCGCTTGTACTAAACAGATTTTTCAATCACAGGAATATTAAAGCAATTTGAAACTTACAGTATGGAAAATTCGACATATACAACAAGAAGAGACGTCAAATGAAGAAATACGAATAGTTATATCAAAGTTTGATGAACACAGGAAAATGTTCAATTATATCGATCGACCAGTCAGCAATAAAAACATATTTAAAATGGCTGGTGACTTTTTTTTGTGTTGAACATAGTCGAATAATCTGAAATAAACTCATAATTCACAAGAAAAGAAATTTTTTGTTTCAATTCATATTTACGTTTGATTTTCACTGCTCATAGCCTGACTGTTTCGTCAATTGTCCTTGAACACCTTCATTTCTTCCCAAATAATAAACGAATGAATTGAAATAAACATTACGAATACATTCATCCCAAATCATCTATCTAAATGTGTTCGAACAATGCGTTCCTTGCGCTCCTAGTTGGTTTATTGTCGAATCGAGATATCAAACTGTCTTTTTGCCTACTTCGAAAACAATAATCATTGAATATATATCTATTGATGTCTTTCAGTCAGTACTGCCCAGTTTTCCACCTTAATTTCAGATATCAATGTTCACGTCAATTACTAACGGCACTACTTGGCAAGAATCATTTTTCTAAAATATAATACTTCCATGTAGTATTTCTTTCTTAACTACATCTAATCATTCCATATATTTGAATCCCTTTGGAAGGAAAGGTTGCTTTATAGTACGACCGAAGACCTTATTTTTTGTGAAGTTTTAGTGGAAAAATAATTTCATGTGACATAGCTGATCAATTATCAGAGGGCAAAAACAGGCGTTCTCTCTAAAAAAAACGATTGTGTAAGTCAAAGCTTCAAGTATGTAAGCAGTTTTTTAATCATAATCGATATTACCAGTAAGTATTTTGTTGATTAACTAATAGATGAACTCGATCGAAACGAAATATGTAAAAATGGGTACAAAAATACAATCTTTGATTTAATAGTCGTCGGAAATCAAAGTTCTTCGATTCATGGAAGTCGTTGTGTAACGTATGCTTAACAATCAGGCACAGGCAATTTTTATCGTTGAAATGACACGTATATGAATATTGCACAATCGAATGACATTCTTTCGTCTAAAGCCTATCTTTTATTTCACGTGCAGAGAATGTGAGAAGAAACAGCCTATTAAAGTACGTTTTTTTTGTTCACGTTACTGATTCTTCTTTGTTGTGGTTCAAATAGAGCGTAGTCAACCGAATGAATTGCTTATGAAATGTATCGCAATTCTCTTTGCTTTGTCATAGTTTACAATAGTACAGAACGAAAAAAGCCAAAATTATGGCCACATTTTGTTCTGTTCTTGATTGAGAAGAGCACGATGTATTTCTAAACATGTTAGGTGGCATAGAGAACATGATAAGTGTTGGTGTGAGCACTGAGAAAAATTATTTTAATATCTAAGATAGTGTTCTTATCGTATTATGGCTGTCGAAATGTTCTTGTTTTAGAAAAAAAAGGATTTAAAATGACTAATTTTTTAGTATGGCTTGCGGTGTGTAGATATTCAAATTAGGCCAAAGTCACTATTTTAAATGTAAGCAAATATTTATTTGTGAATAAACTACGTTGATGTTAGATACTTAAGAAAAAAACATCTGTCTATAGCTTGTGAAAATTGACACCATTCTCGTTCGACCCGACTAGTATGTTCGATCCGAATAAACAAGCACGCCAGGGCTCCGATTCGTAGACGACTGTTGTTTTGATTTTTCCATCTTTTGTAATGTGAAAAAGACGTGAACTACTTCGATCGATGACGAGCCATTCTTCATCATTAAGAAGACAACAACGAATCGCTCTATTCAGAAGATCAATAATATCGAATCGAAGTAGCCATAATCGATCGAATGTCATGGATGATCTTAGTTCCATACGTTTTGTTTTACTTTTTTGTTCGCCAATCATCAGAGCTAGTGTTCTATTCGAATAAACCATGTCATAGATCCATTCGTCTTTTGTGCATGTGTCAGGAGGTTGCCATTGTTTAGTAAGCTGAATCGATGACGATAGTTTGAACTCACTGATGGAAGAACCTGTTTTTGCTGTGGATAGAAATAGTGATGTATCCGAACATGTACAAGAGTACCAATGTTGTCCTTTGATTGTTTGCACTTGCTGAGTCGACATTGTATTTTCATCGAGAAGAAAAACATTATTTAAAGTAAGTACTATAAAACGATCTAATGTTGATGACCAGCACATATCCCAAATTAAACCATGAGTCCATATATTCTGTTTGACTAATCGTACATCTTGATCGAACAAACATAAATTTGGCATTTGGTGTTTTAATAAAAATTTATTATTACTGGCTAGAGGTTTCCAACTTCCATAAGAATGATAGATGCCACCGTACGGACGCGAAAGAGTTGATAGATTAAATCGATATACTCTTGATTCTGTAATTTGAATACTATTGTTATCTATCGCTAAAGGATGAGTATTAATTTGAAAACATCTATTATTTTCGATCTCTTTTATTTCTTGTTCAAGATGATGAAAATCCAATTTCAATGAGTCAATAGTTTCAAGAGAAGCATTTTGCTGACGAATGAGTTCATTCACATTTAACTGTAGTCGAGTCATTTCTATTTTCTTTTTGTTCACTTTTTCGGCAATAATTTGATAGAATTCTTGACATTTTCGTTTGAAAAAAAGATCTATCGTCTTGTGACAATCAGCACGCCATTTGTTGAGTTTTTCTTCAATATTTTCGAATAGTTGTCCAACGTCTAATTCCATGAGTCGATTGTCAAGTGTATCGATCTGCTCAATCAATGGATCCAATTGCTTGTCAAGAAAATTATCATCTTTATTCAAAATGTTCTCACGTATAGTTTGTTTGGAGTTATGAGTATACATTGTACTGACACGCGGTAGAAAAGTTTTTAAAAAAGCATTAAAATACTGCGCTCTCTCAATCCTATGTAAGAACGAGAAAAGAAAAATGTTTTGACTTCTACGCAACTACAACCACATGTGCGCAGAAAAAGATGAAGCATTACTTCATTATTTCGTCGCCCAGGTAAAATTCAAATATGTATACAAATTTTTTTTGTTGATAAAAAAAAGATTGTCCAATGACGAGAGCAGAGCATTATTATTGTACAACGCACATGTTGATCCAAATGAACTAAATGAGAATAGACGTCGCGAGTATTATTTGAAATTGAATGTAATACTGATTTAGTCAAAAGTGTTATTCTTGCATCTATTGCTGAATATGGTCATATTCCAGATGAATAAGGAATTTATTCGATTTAGGTGGAACATTTTAAATTTTATCTCTAATACAAGCTAATGTTTGATATTTGATAAAATAATAAAAGTAACAACTGCTACTATTCTCTGGGATATTTTATTGAAATGAGTCAGTATGATAATGTACTAGAATATTTTACTGATTTCCTGTCTAATTCTAAAGAAAATATCAACGAAGTCAAGATAAATGATGTAATAAAAAATTATCACCTTGTATATGCTCTAATTAACGACAACAACATGTTAGACATTAATATTCATTCTATTGTTCAAAACCTATCGAAAAAAAATTATAGATTATACAGAAAAGAAATCATTTGTTGAATTTCACAAATAAAAGTAATATATATTGTGAGATGTTCGATTATAAATCAATATTAAAAATTTATAAGAAAACTCTAAACAATAAAACAGATACTTTTTCAAATGAACATTCAGATGCAGTTCAAAATATAAATAATAATGGTGTAATTCTAATAAAATACGAAAATTTTCATCTTATTTTAGAAGTATTTTTTCAAACATTCAACATTTTTGAAGTGCTTATTACCTAACCATTAGAATATAGTTCATCTATCTATTATCATTGAATTTATTTTTGAGTGTAGCATGTGTGTGTTAGTTATGAATAAAGAGAAGACTCAATACCCATTCGATCTACTTAAAAATTCAATTCAAAATCGATTCGTTTAACTTTAGCGAGGTTTTATGAGGCAAGTGATATTGCTATTGCTAAAAAAAGCATGCGTAATCATCTAACGTTTGAATACTCAAAGTCTACTCAATTTGTATCTGTGTCTGGTCTACAATGAAGATTCAGTCAAACATAATCGTACGAAAGTATTCTTGTACAGAATGTAAGTAGTCTAATGAGTAAATATTTGATATATTATTTCTTGCAGAAATATTTCGAACAATTTTTCAGAGCTTCAGAATAGAACATGCCCCAATCGTAGCCCATAAATTGACATTAATAGAGAAAATTAAAATTTTACGCGATATAACGTAATATTTCACAAGCAGAAGTATTAAAAACACGTCGGTGTGTATGTGAATCTTTTGCAAATGAATTCACCTTTTTATTTTCCGTTTGGCGTCCTATATCGAGCACAGTTTTCCCCATGTTCTTATTCGAGATCGATAAAATCTAGTAAACTATTCTTTGGCACCCTCATTCACATGCCAAAATTTATTTTATCCTTAAAAACCTGAATATTGGAATAAATTGTATTATCTTATGGTATGATGAATTCATCTAAGATACTTTTCGTGTTTTGTGTGTCGGTATCGGTTTGAACTTCCTTGAACAATAGCTACTAAAAAACGCACATGGATCCTCCCAAAGTTATGGGCCTTAGAAAAGAAAGAAAATGATACTCTTTCCGATCCTCAAGTATAATATGGTAGACATATATAAGCTACTCTCTATGAGTGAAATGCATCCATCTTATTGCAACAATTCATCGTTCTTGCATTCAGCAGAATCAAATTCATTGAAAATTTAGCAGATTGATGCATCTATTCAGCACTGAATAACTACACAGCTTGAGATCATTAGATTTTCATATGCATGGAATTTCGTAGCGATATTATCCCAGATAATTTTTCAATTTTTCAACAAAATTAAATTTAGAAAACGTGGTATAAAATCAGAGTAACAAACCCTATTTCTCGAGTCTTTCTAATAACAATATTACAAAACGAAACAATGTTTTCCATCATGATAGACAGACAAAACTAATGGTTACTAGAGTACTACAAAATAAAGAAACGAATTAGGTAATTAGTGAGATCTAATTTTTCGACATGACTAAACTTCTAAACAAAGGAAATCTGTGACTTGCTATCCCATCAAACATGTTTTTATCAATTGAATAAGAAAAATAGTTATGCTGCAGAACTATCCGACATTTAACCATTAAGAAAGATGTACGGTACATCCAAAGAAAAATCACTAAGGTAGAAATACAATAATATTGAATGATTGAAAAATAGCATTAAAAAGAATTGTAAAGAATTAAGTGTTGTTTTATATCAATAAGTGATAGATAAAATACTAATATGATTAAAATTAGTAATCGATGAGGATGATAATCACTAATTAACGAACAGGGTGTGGTGTGTGGGTACGTTGAAGAGGATATTCTCACCCACATCAACACCCCACACCCACACCCAAAACACAAAAGCTACCCACACACGAAGCTAGAAGAAGAACCTAATTTGGGTGTGGGTGTAGATGCGAACGTGGAAGTGGACTTTCACTTCTTTCGCATCCACTCATACCCATACCCACATGGAAGGTATCTTCCCTTCAGAAAATGCTGGAAGAATCATGTTGGACGATAATTAATCATCCACATGCCAACAGCTTATGAATCGTTTAGAGAATTTAAAAGTTCTTCCAACAACAACAACGAACGAAATCTAAGAAACAAGTATGACTACAATTTGTTTCTCTATGATTTGAAGTTCTACAAACTTCTTCATCAGTCACTCAATTATGTTACGATGAATGTCCTCATCTTTTACCACTTTTACTCAATAATAGACGATGCTGATGTTGCTCATGAAAACTATTTCGCCTGTGTCATTCAGCTCAATCAAACACGCATAAGGGAATATCTTATATTCTCTAGTGAAAAGTGAGAGCTTCCAGATACAGCTATATATCAGAAACATGTTTTCTACCTCTTAAAGATAACTTCAGAATCAGTTGGATGTTTCGAGCTTATAACGATCGACGATTAGCAGTTCATGAATAATCACGTTGAACTTTTTACTACACTCATTGAATTTCTCGAATAAAATATGCCGGTATATTCTAAGAGAATGGTGGAAAAGGACTATGTCTTGAGTTCTATTAGTATAGCAATTCTTCGCTTGCTTTGGTATTTAGCCAATCAAACAAGGTTGGTTCCAACATTGTTGAAATGTGGTCTTGCCAAGAGAGTCACCGGTTGGCTCGCTCAGTCAGCTATGCTAACAAATGAAAGTTGGAAACCATCCATCAGTATCGTTCACAATATCGCTCGACACGATGATGGAGTCCATGAACTCAACAAACACGGAACTATTGATGTTATCAAACAATATCGGACGGTGTCGGTGTGGGAGTGGGCTTTCTCTTCTTTCGCACCCATCTGCATCCACACACACTATGGTTCCACCTTTTTAGGAAGGTGTTTACGTTCCTTTATTGCACTAGAGACAAAAAAAAGCGAAAAATCGTGCTTTCTTAACGATCGTGAAACTGATTAACACGAATAAAGTTATACTCTAAAGGTCATTTGGCAAATTCCGACTCATATAAGACTACCAACAAACTACATTCTTCTTATTGCACAAGTGTGTGACTCATCGATGGTATGTGTGCGCACCTTTTCATTACTCTCTTGCGTTCTTTTCAACAAACCAAAAACTTTTTATACAAGAAAAAAGTCATTCGATGCAATCATTGCATATGAAAAGGTTGATCACGTTATCTATTGACACACTCGAGTGCAGCAGCAATAACTGCGAATGATTCTCTGTTCTGAATATGCTATCATCTGGCCCGATGCTCATATTGGACTACCTGATCACTGTTGAAAAATGAAGCAAGAATTTCAAATGGCTCTTGCAGAAGTTGCAACAGTTCCACCACTTCTATACGATTTAATCGAAAGTCTTCTTTTTGGTATTCACGAATACCATGCTCCACTTTTATTTGCGAACACAAAATAAAGCGTATTAGATCTAATTGAAACAAGATGCGCTCACAAAAAGGTTATTTTAATTGCGTTGCCTTCAATGTCGTCGAAGCTACTCTTTATATTATTGATGATCCCGTAAAACGCCAACCATTCACAAAAACCCAGTACTCCCCTTCTAGATATAATTAGTTGTCGAGTACACGGCCAATAAGGTCATATTTCAACGCAAAACATTCGATTGGATGAAGAAATATGCATTTTAGTATACTTACAATTCTGTCTCATATCTATTTTACATATGATCAAACGAGACGACAATGAAAT